TCTCTTCTTGTAAAGTTGTAATTATTTTAATTATTTTTATTTCCAAACTGATTTTAACCAGTTCTATAGTAAGGTAACATTCCAATAGACAATATGCAAAGCTTTTTTTTCAGTTTACAGCAGTATTTATTACACAAAATTTAAGTAAAGCTTAACATGCCGATCTTGCCCCGGTCTCCCCTAAATAAGTGAAAAATGTAAAAAATTTTCTTAACAAAAATAAATTAATAATATTTAATTATTATCAACTTTTTGAACAACGGTCACCGACGGGAACAAAAATGGCCGTTGTTAGGAAGTGGCGGTTGTTTGCAAGGTATTTTGTATGCATTTCAAAGGTTTGTGAAGAAATGGCCACTGTTTAGAAGCCGTTATTCGAGGTTCAACTGTATATATTTATAATTCAAATCTGAATATTGATTTATATACGATTTTTAGCGAAAGGTTCATTCGAATAAATCATTCAAATGTAAAATTCTTTCTTGAAATTTCTTAGATTTTTAACGTTAAAGTGATGTTTTAGTCACTTTAAATTTTTCATACTAAGAACAAAAAATGCAAAAGTCTTCAAATGATTTTAAAATTCCATTATTAATAATGCAATACTTAAATTGATGTCGTTTTTTTAATCTTATTTTAAACATACCACTTTAATTTATAAAACTATTAAATAGTCGAAGTATTTTTACTGTAAATAAGAATGCTTAAAAACTAGAATCGCTTTCAATTGTCCATTACGGGCACAAATCAAGATACAAAATCTAAATAACTCGTTTAATTACCCATTGTTTTTATAGTACCTAATAGAAAACTGTCTGATTGTCTAATGCAATGTTTCTAATAAGAATAAAATCGCTCTTTATGGACGAAAGTAATTTTCTGTTCGAAATTTCGATTGAAGATTAAGGGATTTTTATAACGTTTAGGAAATTTTTTCAAGATCTTTTTGATCTCTTTCAAAGTGAATGCTAGCGATTTTGATGATCGATGATGATCAATTATTTTTTATCCAGATGAAGTATACACCATTGACCAAGTGGATAAAATCACTAAACTTGGTCGTGGTTCGAGCCTTTTAACAGGGTAGCCACATGGAGTTTCCCGAGTTTTATTCACATTTCTACCCCTTAAAATAGGGGCCAATTTTAATAGAAAGTCCTCTATAGAATTTGTTTATTTAAATTTATATTTTATTAAAATGTAATTCTGCCAGCCCATTTCTACAAATAAAAATTATTTCTCAAAACTATAAAGTATGCAAAATTATTTTATTTATAAAATTAGCTTTAAAAGAACAGATTCTTATCTATTTCATGAGGTTATTATTCTATGTTCGAGAGGTTTTAAATTTTACTTTGATAAATTTCATTATAAAATAGGTTATGTGTTATATTTAACAATATTCTATAGCATTCATAAAGCAATATCTTGCAATTGTATTAAATCTAAAGTTGTTAAGAGAGGAGACGTGCTCTAATATTATTTTGGTAGAAAAAGTTTTGTTGCTGATGATCGAAGATACTTCAACTACGATACCAAAAATTCGTCTTCGAATGAATCTAACTTATTTATATTATTTCTTTAAACAAAGGAAACTACAGAAGTATACGTTATACTTATTTTATACGAAGGATAAGTATGAAAATTTGAAGAGAATTCTGGAATATGAAATACATATAGAAGAGTTTTTGAAGTTATAACTATCTTCAGATACTTCTCAGTATATCTGAAGATATCTGAATATAATATTGACGTGCTTTTCTTTATATTCTTGCATATAACATTAAAATACATAATAAGTTACTTTAGAACGAAACGTCTGCAAATATTGGTTAGTTATTCATAATTTAAAAGTGAATTTAATCGAAATTTTTTGTTTTANATGGCAATAAATTAAGTCACGAATTTATAAATGGATATTTCTTCTTGTTTTTTGGTTTATATCTTTTGGAATTTATCTCTTCCATATCATTAAAATACAGCTTAATTTTGAATGAAAAATTTCGAAATTATCGAACCGTTTTTTGTGACGTAAACAAGTAAATTAAATGACAATATGTACTTTAAAGAATGTCACACTGCTGATTCTTCCAAATGAATAATGATTTCAACTTAAAAGTAATATTAAAATTTTTTTCAATGTAAATCTTTTTAATATATTTTCAGTTGTTTCAAGTTTTAATTCGTGTTACTAAATGTTTAGTCAGATAAAGTGATTAAATTTTAATTTGAATCTTAATTTTTGTAGGAAATTATACATAAAAGTGTAACCTTTAATTATTTTTTCGAAAATTTTACAAAGTTTTTTTAAAGATAAATTACTTTTATTTAAATATTATAATTAGATATTAAACTCTAACATCTGTGGGCGTTAAGAGGGCCTTTTTCTTAGATTGATCGTGAGTTTAGCAAAGCCTACAATGAAAGCCTTGGCCAAACCCATGATGGGTCTAGGAAGGCCTACAACTGGGTGGTGAGAAAAGGGCCCCAACATATTTGGCATGGAAAATTCTTTTATAGTTGCTCGCCTCATTCGATTTCAGATAGACTGAGGGCCTTAATCAGCTTGGCCATATTGCCACAACATTCATAGATTCACATCATAACTTAAAATAATTTATTACTCATTTTATATGCTTATTAACTATTATCTAATAAATATAATTTATATTTTAAACTTTATTAAGTATACTTTTTAAGTATAAAATTAATAATAGGGGGAGATATTTAGTTTAATAATGTATTTCAATTTCTTATTATTTATTTAAAAATAAATTTAAATATTCGATATTATATCCAAAATTAATATTGAATTAATAATTATAAAATTCTAGACAATTATAATTGATAAATAGTATAAATTTAACAAAAACGTTTCAGAGAAACGATCGAATTTGTTAAACATAATTGACTGTATTAATGATATATATATGGTATATTTGACAAAGTAATAATATATAAGTGATATATTATATATATTTTTATATTTCTAGGTATAACAACGGTGTTAACTATGACGTTTCTGGGTTTAGAAAGTCGCAACGACTTACCAAAGGTTTCCTATTGTACAGCGTTGGATTATTACGTGGCAATTAGCTTCGCATTCATATTTTCAACAATTGTAGAATTCGCAGCAGTTCATTATTTTACTAAAAGTGGTAGCGGAGAACATTATTTTCCAGATAATCAAGTACAGGATGCTTCGACAGATTCAGAAGAGAGCGAAACAATGGACGAAGAAGGAAGCATCGACGAGAAAGTCCCATTTGTAGATAAAGCAACGACACCAGACAGAGTTTAGCATAATACAAATAATATAAAAATTGCTTACGATTATTTATTTATTTATTTATTTTCCAATATATCTTTCTATAGATACCAGAGAGTCTTCAGGATAACGAATGTTGGAAACAAGCTACAGAAAGGCCACGTCGACAATCGAATGCATGCTCTTTAGCGGGAGACGAAAGTCCTACATCTTTACAATTCGAAAATCTTTCACAAAATGGTGCGAGACATAAACGAAGATGTTCGTTTTTTAATAGCCGTAAAATACCGAAAACGAAAAGGAAGAAGAAAAAGAAAAGAAAAATCATTATGCAGTTGAATAGCGTGAGCAAAATCGATAGAATATCACGCGTGTTGTTTCCCGTGATTTATTTAATCATTAACTTTATATATTGGTTCACTTATTTGGGTGGAGAGAGAGCAACATGACAGCATTCTCATCGTGATAAAAATATACGTATCCAATATCACAAACTTTACTGTTGTTGTCACGACGTGAGGAATAAAAACTGGACAGGGTATGCGGCAAAAAATAACATATTTATCTTATTTTTAAAATAATGTTGATTGTTTCTGTAAAATCTATATCAAAATTCGTTAATAAATTCCAGTTTTATCACTTGTTTCTTGTTAGAAAAATATGGTTATTTTTTATTATTATTTAAAAATTATATATGATAAGTAATCGCATTTAAACTTTTTAATAAAACTTTAACGTCGATAAAATATAATGTCTAGATTTAATTCGTGTTATAGTTTTTTAGGATAATGATCGAAATTTGGAATTAAATAGTTGATTAATACCAGATAATCACTAAATTGGTAAAGTTTTTAAATCGTTTCTTANAAAGTGAATGCTAGCGATTTTGATGATCGATGATGATCAATTATTTTTTATCCAGATGAAGTATACACCATTGACCAAGTGGATAAAATCACTAAACTTGGTCGTGGTTCGAGCCTTTTAACAGGGTAGCCACATGGAGTTTCCCGAGTTTTATTCACATTTCTACCCCTTAAAATAGGGGCCAATTTTAATAGAAAGTCCTCTATAGAATTTGTTTATTTAAATTTATATTTTATTAATTAAAAGTAGCAACCTTACTCCTTTTTATAACGCAAATTATAGTATTAATGCATAAATTGTTTTTGTTCTACATTTTTCACATTATTCATCGAAAAGCGAGTTGATGTAGTAAAAAAATTTTAAAATATTTGTCAGCCATGTTGATAAACAAACTGCAACCATGAAGAAAACTGCTTGTTATATTGTGTCTAACATAACTTTCATATATTATAAGAAATATTATCTATCTTACGACAGCATCCGAAAAATTTTTCTCATGTTTTCGTATTTTAAGAGACTGAAATAACTTTCAGAAAACACTTCTTTTGCATCAGTTCTGAAAATTTTGACATATTTTATCAGTTATTACGCTTGGTATAGAATGCTGTTATGTGAATAAATCCTAGAAAATCAGAATTATAATTAATAAATGTTTTAAAATACAGAATATTAAAGCATATATAACCATAAAATTGGCTTAAAGATAAACTATACAATTTTTTATATCATTTTAAAACTTTATCGAGTTTTGATTTTAGTAAATTGCCTTGTTTTGAATAGTACAACTTTGTCTCTTGCACCTTAAATATTAATATAAGAAAGGAACAATATGTTATAAATTTGAGTAATCTTCAAATATCAGAATATAATACATTATGTGTTTATGTTTTAAACAGGAATTTTAAAAAGAAATAATAAAAATGACTCGAAATGTAAACATGGCAATAAATTAAGTCACGAATTTATAAATGGATATTTCTTCTTGTTTTTTGGTTTATATCTTTTGGAATTTATCTCTTCCATATCATTAAAATACAGCTTAATTTTGAATGAAAAATTTCGAAATTATCGAACCGTTTTTTGTGACGTAAACAAGTAAATTAAATGACAATATGTACTTTAAAGAATGTCACACTGCTGATTCTTCCAAATGAATAATGATTTCAACTTAAAAGTAATATTAAAATTTTTTTCAATGTAAATCTTTTTAATATATTTTCAGTTGTTTCAAGTTTTAATTCGTGTTACTAAATGTTTAGTCAGATAAAGTGATTAAATTTTAATGAAAAATTTCGAAATTATCGAACCGTTTTTTGTGACGTAAACAAGTAAATTAAATGACAATATGTACTTTAAAGAATGTCACACTGCTGATTCTTCCAAATGAATAATGATTTCAACTTAAAAGTAATATTAAAATTTTTTTCAATGTAAATCTTTTTAATATATTTTCAGTTGTTTCAAGTTTTAATTCGTGTTACTAAATGTTTAGTCAGATAAAGTGATTAAATTTTAATTTGAATCTTAATTTTTGTAGGAAATTATACATAAAAGTGTAACCTTTAATTATTTTTTCGAAAATTTTACAAAGTTTTTTTAAAGATAAATTACTTTTATTTAAATATTATAATTAGATATTAAACTCTAACATCTGTGGGCGTTAAGAGGGCCTTTTTCTTAGATTGATCGTGAGTTTAGCAAAGCCTACAATGAAAGCCTTGGCCAAACCCATGATGGGTCTAGGAAGGCCTACAACTGGGTGGTGAGAAAAGGGCCCCAACATATTTGGCATGGAAAATTCTTTTATAGTTGCTCGCCTCATTCGATTTCAGATAGACTGAGGGCCTTAATCAGCTTGGCCATATTGCCACAACATTCATAGATTCACATCATAACTTAAAATAATTTATTACTCATTTTATATGCTTATTAACTATTATCTAATAAATATAATTTATATTTTAAACTTTATTAAGTATACTTTTTAAGTATAAAATTAATAATAGGGGGAGATATTTAGTTTAATAATGTATTTCAATTTCTTATTATTTATTTAAAAATAAATTTAAATATTCGATATTATATCCAAAATTAATATTGAATTAATAATTATAAAATTCTAGACAATTATAATTGATAAATAGTATAAATTTAACAAAAACGTTTCAGAGAAACGATCGAATTTGTTAAACATAATTGACTGTATTAATGATATATATATGGTATATTTGACAAAGTAATAATATATAAGTGATATATTATATATATTTTTATATTTCTAGGTATAACAACGGTGTTAACTATGACGTTTCTGGGTTTAGAAAGTCGCAACGACTTACCAAAGGTTTCCTATTGTACAGCGTTGGATTATTACGTGGCAATTAGCTTCGCATTCATATTTTCAACAATTGTAGAATTCGCAGCAGTTCATTATTTTACTAAAAGTGGTAGCGGAGAACATTATTTTCCAGATAATCAAGTACAGGATGCTTCGACAGATTCAGAAGAGAGCGAAACAATGGACGAAGAAGGAAGCATCGACGAGAAAGTCCCATTTGTAGATAAAGCAACGACACCAGACAGAGTTTAGCATAATACAAATAATATAAAAATTGCTTACGATTATTTATTTATTTATTTATTTTCCAATATATCTTTCTATAGATACCAGAGAGTCTTCAGGATAACGAATGTTGGAAACAAGCTACAGAAAGGCCACGTCGACAATCGAATGCATGCTCTTTAGCGGGAGACGAAAGTCCTACATCTTTACAATTCGAAAATCTTTCACAAAATGGTGCGAGACATAAACGAAGATGTTCGTTTTTTAATAGCCGTAAAATACCGAAAACGAAAAGGAAGAAGAAAAAGAAAAGAAAAATCATTATGCAGTTGAATAGCGTGAGCAAAATCGATAGAATATCACGCGTGTTGTTTCCCGTGATTTATTTAATCATTAACTTTATATATTGGTTCACTTATTTGGGTGGAGAGAGAGCAACATGACAGCATTCTCATCGTGATAAAAATATACGTATCCAATATCACAAACTTTACTGTTGTTGTCACGACGTGAGGAATAAAAACTGGACAGGGTATGCGGCAAAAAATAACATATTTATCTTATTTTTAAAATAATGTTGATTGTTTCTGTAAAATCTATATCAAAATTCGTTAATAAATTCCAGTTTTATCACTTGTTTCTTGTTAGAAAAATATGGTTATTTTTTATTATTATTTAAAAATTATATATGATAAGTAATCGCATTTAAACTTTTTAATAAAACTTTAACGTCGATAAAATATAATGTCTAGATTTAATTCGTGTTATAGTTTTTTAGGATAATGATCGAAATTTGGAATTAAATAGTTGATTAATACCAGATAATCACTAAATTGGTAAAGTTTTTAAATCGTTTCTTATCTTTATAAATTTTTAAATCGATTTTTTTTTGGAGGGAGAAACTTTTTTTGTTTTGTATAAAATTACAGAAAACTTTTTCGAATTAATTGATAAAATATATAATTATATAATTTAAAGTTAAATACGTAGAATTTTTATATAAGCTTAACATTAAACTTTATAGAAAGAAGAGTTTCGAACTTAGTTTATCTTTGATAATTTTCAATGTTTAGTTTTTAAAAATTATTTTATTTTTAGTAAATTCTTTGTTTTCGCTTCTTCAAAAACTACAGAAAAATTAAAACGTTTTATATATTATAAATTAATTGTTAAAATTAATTTATAATCAATTCTTGTTTGAATCATTCTCAAATGATAAGGCAGATAATTATTCATAGAAATTTTACAGCAATGCAAAGTAGATAAATGATAATTTAATAGCCTATAATTGAAGAATATAGCAATTTTTGAATAAAGATACATAAAATATGATTACTTTCTCCATTGATAATAAACACAGACATACTCAATTAGCACGAAATTTTAGGTTTTAAAGAAAAAAAAAGAAAGCGGTTTTCTAAATTAAAGTAGAGCAAGACCAATAAGATTTATTAGACATTTTAATAAAGTTAAACTGACTTTAATGCATGATGAATGGTATTCATCTGAGAAGTTAAAGAATAGCTCCCAAATGATGCCTTTCAATTAATTGCGCTTTCAGCTGGCAGCCATAAGCAATATACATGCAAATTGATTTTCATCAGATCTTCGATAGGCAGCGACTTTCGACACTAAAAACTTTATTTCAGTTAATTAATGTCATCACACTTTTATTTAAATATTATAATTAGATATTAAACTCTAACATCTGTGGGCGTTAAGAGGGCCTTTTTCTTAGATTGATCGTGAGTTTAGCAAAGCCTACAATGAAAGCCTTGGCCAAACCCATGATGGGTCTAGGAAGGCCTACAACTGGGTGGTGAGAAAAGGGCCCCAACATATTTGGCATGGAAAATTCTTTTATAGTTGCTCGCCTCATTCGATTTCAGATAGACTGAGGGCCTTAATCAGCTTGGCCATATTGCCACAACATTCATAGATTCACATCATAACTTAAAATAATTTATTACTCATTTTATATGCTTATTAACTATTATCTAANAACACAGACATACTCAATTAGCACGAAATTTTAGGTTTTAAAGAAAAAAAAAGAAAGCGGTTTTCTAAATTAAAGTAGAGCAAGACCAATAAGATTTATTAGACATTTTAATAAAGTTAAACTGACTTTAATGCATGATGAATGGTATTCATCTGAGAAGTTAAAGAATAGCTCCCAAATGATGCCTTTCAATTAATTGCGCTTTCAGCTGGCAGCCATAAGCAATATACATGCAAATTGATTTTCATCAGATCTTCGATAGGCAGCGACTTTCGACACTAAAAACTTTATTTCAGTTAATTAATGTCATCACACGTCTTTCTATCCTTCGGAGACAAAAGTTGAACTGCAGTTAAAATTTATATAATAAAGTTTTATATAATGTGTATATATATATAATTATTTTAACGTTGAAGATGATGCCAAATATCTAAAGATTTATTTAAATTTTTTTTGGTAAATAATAATTAACACGTTTAAGGATTTTTAATATTACAATAAAAAACATTAATGAGGTCGAAAATTTATTTTAATTTAGTTACTATTAAATATTAGCAACAAGACACGATTCATATATTTTGATGAATTTAAAATGGGTGCCACGTTTTTGTTAATAAATTAAATAATTTTTTGTTAAAATTAATTAAATTAATTTATAATTTTAGGAAATAATATTAACAAAAGTCGTATAAAATTGTATATGATGTAGCAGAATTTTTAAGTTACAATTCATCTTAAAGTTATTCCGCATTTTATTGACATTTAAGATATTAAAAATCGATATAAAGTATGGAAAAACTTAAAGAAAAGATAGAAAAATAAATAGAAAAACGGAATAGAGTTAAATATTTGATCATTTTTAAAATTTTAAATTCAAAAAACTGTTGCAAGTTCTCTTAAAATCTCATTCACTTCGACTTTCAAGGAACTTTTAATCCACTTATTTTTAAATTACATACATTTATTGAATAAAAAATAATAAAAAATAAAGTAATTTATCAATATTTAATTTGTTAAAAGTTTTAAATTAAATTTTTATACATTCAATAATTAATATAATGATATTATAACTAAGGCAAGCTTCAGTAATTGAGATGAAGGGAGAAAGTTAATTAGGTAAGTGAAAGTAGAAAGAATTCAATAAAAACTTTAAAGAATTGTGAAAATATTTTAGTGAATATTTTCTTTTAGAAATGAATACATTTTTATATAATCCTTCAAATCTTACATTTAAAAACCCATAGAAAGATTTGAATAGTTAAAACCAAGATCGAATAAATCATCCAGTTAAAATTTAAAATGAAATTTAACTAAATATATTATTTATAAATTATAAGAAGTAATAATTTAAACAATTACATAAAAATTTACTTGAATATAAAATTAATTAGCATTAAATTTGTTAATAAATAAATTTAGTTTATTAACACGTTAAACGTGCAGTAAATTTCAAGTCCTATTCATAAATAAAGATGAAATTTCAACTATTTAAATTTTGTTTTATATTTTATTCTGATTACAACTTTATTACAAAAATTTTCCATATAATTTACATTTCATTGTAATCAAATACAATTCAATTGTAGTCTTTTGTGGGTTTAAAATTACATAAATTTGGATGCTTTAACAGGCATTTTTAAGACTTATTAAGAGAATATAAGTCAAAGTATAGCTTATAATTTATAATTCAAAATATTTGTAAAAATCTTTGTCGTATAGTTTTAAGACCTTCACAGATGCTTTATTTATGAGGGGGGAAAACAAAAAGGATAGCAAAGTTTCGCGTTAAAGCAGTTTTACTAAAATGTGATAAAACTTAAAATAAAAAAAAGAAAGTTTTGCTTGGCTTAAGAATAAAATTTCAAATATAACAAGTATTTTGTAAAACATTCCGACCACTAAGAAAAAAATATTTGATATATCCTTTGATTTTTAAAACAAAACCAGGCGTATTTTATACCAATATAAAATATTCGCTTGGATTTTTGGTCGCTTGTTTTATTAGATATATAGAATTTATTACACATAAAATTTGTCAACAGACGTTTTTTATGTTAGCCCTTTCTTCTTGTTAAGATATTTTGATAAATAATCGATAGAATATGAATTATTTAATGATTTTATCATATTTATTCAAGATATAATCGAAATTATTTTTTGTATTCTAATGTAGTTAGTTGATATATATATATACATCAACTAACTACATTATACAGTAAAACATTTCTTAGCAGACACCTTTTTTTAAAGCGTGAACCATTCTATAACAAACAATTTTTATTGTCCGATATAAAAAGTTTGTAACTTCATTAAATCGAGCGATCTTAAGGGGAGACTGTTTATTAAGGACACATGAAATGCGCTACACTTATGTCTTGGCTTCTATTAACGGTTACAGTAGATTTTTCCTTGTTGACTTCTTTGTTTGAAGTTTCTGCAACTATTATCAAATTAATTTTGAAACCTCAATACTGCATTTTCCATTGAATTCTTAAAATTGATTTGATTGTACAATTTTATTATGACATAGTAAAATTCCTACATTGGCTTACTTGCGATTTTAGGAGTTCGTTTAGTGACCCTGTTCACATCAGTCCGAAAGAAGCAGGTGCACCTTACAACCATAATTAGTAGAAACAATGTTTTTCAATGCAATAACATAGCCGTTTACATCGACAAACGTGGTTGAAATATTCTGTGGACATTTCATTCAGTCCTATAGTTGTTAAAACTGTAATCTTGTGCCCTTGTCATTTTTCTTTTTCTATATTTACGTGTCTCTTACGACGGGTTGAAAATGTTTGTAAATAGCCAACAAGTTGCATTTTTTCAGCCGAATACGTCATAAGCAAGAAGAAAAAACTTCGTACAAACTACTAGCTGTATTCTCAATTAGCGCTAGAGCACAGACATCCAACTAGAAAATGCTGAGATTATATTTAATGTTATGGTTACTTCACTCTCTCAACTATCAAAGCGTAATTTCAAAGTCAAATACATAGAAATGGTTGTCATGGAGCATCGCACTCCAAGCGCTTGAAAGACATTTGAGTTTCAGACAAAGCAACTCAATATGTTTCAAGCCATTTCATGGATTTCAAGTGCTTGGATACAACTTCTGCCATCAACAATTCAGAGTTGTTTCTTCAAAGCCGGATTTCCTTCGAATAATCAGAAAGCTTACAATTTTGCAAAAGCTATTGAGAATGCTAAGGTGATAACACAATCTCATGAATGCAGCAGGATTTACCATCATTGCAAATCATTAGGCCTTCGTCAATATACATCCTGACATCCCAACTGAGTGCATAAGCTAAGATACAAAAACATCTTTCAGTCACCCTCTGAGAATAAAGAAAGGGAGAATGGAGATGATAATGATGACAATACAACGGTTCACAGACGAAATGACAGCTGCTACAGACTACAGACCAACCAATAGAGTCATGCAGGAAGGCCTTGGACTACGTGAACAAACTTAGTGTTATATCAATAGAAAAAATGTAGACAGTTCGAAGCTAGCACAATATTTA